ATTATTATTATTATTATTATTATTATTATTATTATTATTATTATTATTATTATTATTATTATTATTATTATTGATTTTTGTGCTATCAGTGGATAGATTTTGTTCTTTTTGCTTGTCTCTTTCCTTTTCTTCTTTTTCTTCTTGTTCTTTCTGTCTCTCAGCGAGCGCTTCAATATCCACTTTATAATGTTCAAAAATTTGTTCTTTCAACGTGACCCCATCATCCCCGGCGACATTTCCGTCACAAAATTTATGTGAACATCGATTACCCAAACCAACAATAGCACTCGTGAAGCATACCGGTACCGTTCCACCTGGTGCTAAAATTTGAAATGCTGATGTTTTGTGAAATGGGTCGAGTACAATATCACGACCTCTTGACGACAAGTAGCTCATGTCGAATCTTGATGGTGCACGATCTCCATCCCACGCGTCAGCGCGAAATAGCCAGGATTCGGGTGTAGCGTTATAAGCTCTCATTACACTTTATTATTCGTTAGTTGGAATTTCGAAAATATTAAAATTATTTCTTGAAACTGATAATCATTTAATAGTTAAAATTACCTCCATAATGGTAATATTCCATTAAACATCCAGTGACCAAACTCGTGCGGACTAACTAAACCGTACACGAATACTTTCTCGTCAACTAAAGAATAGCGCCGCGACGGGAATTGTGCAAATATACGTGGTGTCCAACCTCGATCCGATTCTTTGTCAGATGCCACAAGATTAACTATAGGTGGCCTAGGTTTTGAACTATTTTGAACAAGAAATGCACCTATTGAAAGTTGACAAATATACATTAATTTTTTAAATAAATTAGATCAAGCCAACCAAGCCTTCTGAGAAACATACCACGATCCCTATCCACACAAAAATTCGTAAACACACACATCCTCACTCTTTTATTTCCACTAAGATTCATTTGCCCATCAATCGTGGTATCCGTGCAATTCCATTCCGACACCAAAGTCGGTTTATTCACCCCATCGAAAATCAGTTCCAAATTGTCGAGTTCCGACCAAGCGCGATCCAAAAACGAGTCACCATCCTGCGAGATATACACAATAAAGTAGACCAGCGACAGGCAAAAAAACAGTGTGAAACAGGAGAGAGCGTGTCGCCCACCAAAGAGACTTTGATTTGTACGGTTCATTCGGCTGCGGCGTCTCTTTTTGGTGGGGTCACCAGGAAACGTAACCTGGTTCACCATAGGATATTAGTGCGTCTTTACTGTTGGAGATCGAATAGGGGGTTTTGTAGATTATTTTCTCTCGGTCGTTAACTAAGAACTGATAACTCTGATATGCTTTCGATGTAGTATCGGTGGTAATAGTGGCAAAAAATTGGTTCTACTGCTATTCTTTGAATGTGCATGAATGTGTGCAATGTGCAAACTCTATTTCCTGGTAAAAGTACTTTAGGTGTGTTTGTGTGATGAACGAGTCACTAGACAGAAAACATCGAAAGTGTCTGTGTGATCAACAATTTTTTATTTTAGAAAAATAGAAACACCAATCAAAAAAGTAGAATTGATCACCAAGAAGAAACTAAGCCAAACAAGCCACAAGACAGCAAAATATGATCAATCATTAATTTATTTATTGATTGTCGTTTTTTTTTATTTTTACTATAATTCATTTCAATCCAAGATTAATAAATAAATAAGTAAATAACACACGCAAATTAATATAAAACATCATGTCATGGAAGGGTGAAATAGCGATCACCTGATTTACAATAATAAACCAAAATAAACATTTCGTAAAATAAAAAACAATGATGATTCTTGATATTTGCAAAAATCAAACTCACCAAAATCTCCCAAACCCGGTACAATATACTTTTTCTCATCCAACCCCTGATCAACACAGGCCGTCACAATCTTCAGCTGCGAAAAGCGTTTGGTCACGGCGTCTATGCCTTCTGGAGCTGCTATTAGATTTAGGAAGAGTATTCGATCTTCACGTACCCCATTTTGAAGTAGTACCTCGATAGCTTTTATTGCTGAGCCACCGGTTGCTGTGAAATTTTCGCGTTATTGTTTTTTGTTTAGTTGATTAATAATATACTTTGATGCTGCTGACAGATTGAATGAAGCTACTTCCCTTTGCGTAATAAAATTTTTTTAATAGTTACCTAACATTGGATCTAATAACATCACGTATCGTTTGTCAATATCATTAGGTAATTTCGCATAATAAAGCTACCAATACGATGTAAATTTAAGAAAGACATAAAATTCTATGAATCGTAAGAATAATAGCAGAATACCTTTGGTTTAGCAGTCTCTTCGTCGCGTTGAATCAAAATTTTTCCAATCCTGACACTCCTGTCGTCGTCCCAAATTTTTTATTAAAAATATCACGTCAACAAATCAATCCCTCGCTTACTCTAGTTATCCGAACACATGCTCACTCCCTCCCCGCATAATTATCCTATCTTATCACGCATAATTTCTCTTTCTCATTTAAATACATACAGACACATCGTTCGTTATAATAATACTTATATTCGAAGAATTACCTGCAACAGTCACGTAATCCTTGTTCCATAGATTCACCCGCACGCATAATTGACACGCCACATATCTTGCCTATAAATTGCACGCCTCGGTATTCATTAGCTATAAATAGTAAAAAAAGATAATGATCAGAAAAATTTATTGAATGACCAAAAAAAGTCTATTTATTCTATATAGCTTTTATAACCTGTGGGCGTAGTAACAGTTTTCTCTTCGACGGGTAAATGATTCAACCCTGTTAAATTAATGATTAATGATTGAACTATAAATCCTAATTTTGTTCATAGTTGACTTTATTGATACCTTCTTCGACCAACAACCTAATAATTCGATCCGAGTAAAAAATAAAATCACCACGTGGAGTAGCACGGTTCCTAATAATAGTCATTAAAGCATCAAGTTGGTTTGTTTGTGGCAAACGAGTAACATTCGGCGGTAAAGATGTCGGAGTAGTTTTCGTCTAATAGTATTAAATAAGAGAGGTTTTTTTAGAATAAGCGAATAAATTTCAATTTTCATAAAAAAACGAAGCTTCATATCAACCATTTGTTAAATTTTCGTTTTTTGGCTTCTAAAGTACGAGTACATTAGCTTATTGTATTTTCTAAAGCTTTAAATAGTAGTCTACACACGCGAATTCACTTTTTATACTCTAATTACACTATAATAAATAAGGAAATGTCCGAATTAGACTTTCTCACAAATGTAACGTAAAAGTATTAGACTCTGTAGGAGTTAAAAATGCCATTTTCAACGTGAAATCAGATGACTCAGGAAAAAATACGCTTAAACATGTACAGCTTTCGTTTTCAGAAGAATTCCTTGATTAACGTTAATGCCGATATAAAAAGAAGTAATTCTTGACAGATAGATTTATCTGGTCACCTGGTTCCTATCTCTACTGCAGAGTTCATATAATGATTTTATCAACAAACTCCTTTCCCTACCATTTTGAATTCGTCATTTGGACCTATTAAAAAAATTATTATATATAATTAAAACTCACCTCTTTTCTTTGTCTGTTGGGTTTTTGATAAAAATAAAGTTTTTTAACATCATAAGACTAAACCTTCTAAAGATTTAGATGGGATAATCAATCTTTGACTAGCTTCCAACCTAAAACGCAACTGAGTTGTGGGAAGGAAGACGGATCGGTAAGATAAATGTGGCAACTAGCTCCGAGTAAGCTATTAAAAATCAAGGACTTTTTGGTCTTTGCTGGATTTACTCCACCAATCGGTGAATTTTCTGTTAATATGCAGTGCTCTCGTGTCTATTTAGCATGTGGTTGTGTGTGAAAAAATCGATCAGTTGTATACAATTATAAAAAAATTTCAATTTCTGAGACACATGATTGGTTGATCCTCTTAATCCAAGATCTGTTTTGTTTTGGTTTGGATTTGCTAAAATCGAAACTAATATATAAGATATTGGTTAGGATTATGAAATTGTATGAAAATTTTAAATCAATTTCATTGTCAATGAATCAACAAACTGTGAATTTGAAAAGCAATTGCTAATACTAATTGAAAATTCTAAAAGAAGTTGGTAAATGATAATAATATTTTGTACTTGAAATATATGTATATAATAAATAATCAAGCATTAAATTGTATTTAATTATTAAAGTATAATTAATAATAAAAATATGATTAAATAAATTGTAAATAAATTAATTAAACTATTTAATTATAGAATTATATACAATCAAATTTTTCTATAGTTATCTTTTTTTTATAAAAATCTGTGTTCTTGTTTTGAGAAAAACTATAAGAAATATGATGATTTGTATTATAATTATATCATATAAAAATTTCATTATAATTACTCTTTTTTTGAGAACCAGTTATAATAAAAACATCTTACTATAAGCATATTTATTATAAAATCCTGCTATAATTATTTATAAAAAAATTATAATATAAAAAAGATCAATTATATTCTAATTTATTTTTTATTAATAAATTATTATTATTTATTAATGCTAAAATGTAGCTGCATTCTAAATCTAAGACTAATTTAACTTACAAAGTAAGATTTACAAATTATAAATTAAGATGAAGAATCACCAGAAAATTAAGAAAATCACAATATGGCTAGCCATCCGAATCATGCTCACTCATGACTAACTAAAGTCTATAAGGTTAATGAATAAATCATTCTCTATCTGTAAAGAATAAACCAGTGAAGTAATGCTATCTTCTTGAATATTTGCAAGATCTTTATCAGGGCATTGATCATTCGTATAAGCTAAAGCAAAGAATTTGCAAATGCAGAGATTAGGTTTCATTTGGATTCTGAAAATATTATTGTAAGAAATAGATATTAATGTATTAGAAGAACATCCAGTACATTTTTTAGAGTGTTTCTTGTGTCTAGCAAAGATTGAATTATTTCTTTCAATTTTTATTTGTTGCTCGCAACGGATGAGTCAAATTAATTTGAATTCTTGTTTAGCAAACCAAATAGTAAACTTGACTGCTAATTCTGATGCTTGTGTATGAGATAAGCTGAATGACTTAAAAAACTTAATAAGCTCTTTCGTAACTAAGTGAGTGTAATTTGATTTGTGATTTATGTCTGTGAATAGTAATGTGTTGTTGAGACAATATGAATTTTTGCAGAAGTTATCTATTATAATATCTCGTGATAAGAATAAGTGATGAGTAATGTTAAGATTTGATAAAATAAGTTTTTTGATTTTGATTATAGCTTGATATTTGATAGTATTGATTGTATTTATAGAGCTTGAGCATGACCAAAGATGATCATTGGTTTCAAAAGCAAGATAAAATTGATTACAGATACTGTATAGGTATAAGTTAGGTTTAAATTTGTGTATATTACTTAGAGTAAAAAGTAAATTATACAGTAACTTAATAAAGTAAGCATGGAACTTGAAGATATTTTTATTTGCAGTCATTGAGTGAATGCCTTTATCTTGGTTCCAGATCAGGTTGATAACTTTCCAGTTTATGTTATACCAAAAACTTTAATCTAGTAGATTGTATTTTAGTATATGAATCTATCACTTAGAGATTGTGTATTTTTTGTCTTGTAGTTTAAGAAAACTATGAAAATTAGCTGTAATTGACAAATTGTGATTATATATTGGTAGAAATCATATGTAGAGTAATGTGTTAAAATTTGTTAAGATTAAATAAGCAATGTTTGTTATTTTTGCTAAGACGTCAGTCAAATTATTATCAGGATCACCAGAATGAACAATTACTTTATATAAAGTTATTTGCAAGTTTTTCTTGTTGATATTGTAATAGATAATTTCTTACAGATCCCAATTGCTTTTTTGGAGCAAATATCTAATGCTAGTAGTACTCTAATTTAGTATATTAGTATTGTATTCATCAATTGTTGCTTGACTGTCTGTGTAAATGTTAAAAGTAATGTCATTGAATGTTATATTAGTAAGTATACTGATAGCTTGGATTTCAGTTGAAGTGATAGAAGTAGTGTGTGAATTTGTATAAGTAAACTGAATATTTGGTGATTATGTGATCCAAGCAGAGTTAGATTTGACTTGATTGGTGTACATATTTTGGATAAATCTATCAGAGTAAATATTTAAATTAATATGTGTTAATATTTTGTTGATTACTATTTGCCAGTAATAAGTGTTAGAGTAATTTGATTTGAAGTGAATTGAGATTAGTGATAGTTCAAATTGATTAATATATTAAAAGTCTGTTTTATTAATCAATTTGCATGATGGAAGAGAGTTAGTTTGAATAACTTTAGATTCTAACTGCTTGAATCATGCTGGTTTGGATCCATATTTATTGATACAAAGATATATTTTGTATTGTCATCATATAATAAGATGAGTTTTGTTGTAATTGATCAATTGCTGAAGAAAAGTGACTCAGTCTTTTCAAATTATATCTCTGCATTTTTTGTGTGTAGACCAAGGGTGAATGAAATTTTAATTAATCATTATGTGTTGTTGTCTTAATGTAGAGTGTTGTTATTATATGAAGAGATGAAGAATATATTCCTTTCATATATAAGTAAAAGAATTGATGCAATTAAATTATGATCTAATGTGAATGATTTAGAAGTTAGATGAATAAGTACTGAATAATGAAGTCAGTGCTATTCTTAAAAACTTTAAAGTTTGATATAAGTGACAAGATCCAACAGTGTGATGTCATTGAGTCAATAGTATAATTTAGTTATTTTTGCTCAGCTTTGAATATTTCACAGATAATCAAGTACCAAGAAATTTGGATGATAAAGTGTGAAGTTTGGAAATGATGATGAAAGTTTAGTTTTAATTTTAAGAACTCTTTTAAATAGTCGTATGAGTTTTTCACATTCAGTATTAAACACAACAAATAGTTGGGATCAGTATTCAAAAGTAGGAATAAAGATCCAATTGAAGATATATATAGCCTACTTATCAATTATATTTTTGTAACTTAGAAGATTTGAGATATAGTTTGCTTCTGACCTGATTTTATTGAGTTGAGTGATAAAACTTCTATTTGCATTGATATAGAGTTCTAAGTATTTGGTATATATGTTTGATGATAGTATTTGAATAAGATTATGAGTTATACTAATGTAAAGCTGTGTGTCAATTTGTAATTGAGTTGGTTTGTAGTAAATTGCTTCTGTTTTTTTTTGGTTAATTTTGATATCACACATTTAATAGAATTGTGAAACAGTATTAAGAATCTGTTGCATGAATTAATAGTTATTTGATATTGTTATAGTTTATTTTGTTAATTATATATTATTGGACAATTTTATATTTATTTTTATTGGACATTTCATATAGTATATTTTATTGGACAATATTTATTTTTATTTTTATTGATTAGCTATTTTTGGACTTATTATTTACATGTATTATACATCAATGTGACAGATATATTGAACATTCGATATTTTGAACTGTTGATCATTAGAGATATTGAACTGTTGATATT